TCAATATGCTGTATAAGTGTTTGGATGGTTTGATTGTGAGAAAGAAGAGGTATGTTATAATAGAGAAGGAATTTGTTGAAACATATGTCAAGATCATAGAGGACTAAAGATGTTGAAAATAATCTTTTAGAGTTGTCTTCTACAGGGTCGATCACTGTATGCTCGACTCTTACAGTTGTGCAAGATACCATAATCTGCCCTGTACATTGGGTCTGACCGTCATTATCCTGACCTTCCACGTAAAATAACTTTTTAAATAGTAACTTGTTATTGTTTAATATAGTAAATTACTTTTAAATACTTTTAAGAACAACTAAAAATATTAAAACTTAAAAATTAAGTTTATAATATTAGTAATAATGTTAATATTTTTTAATAAAAAAAATTATTAGTATAACTATCTAAGTATAAAAAAAAATTACAATCTGAACTGTTTTGATTAACAATTAAACCAATTTGCATCTGAAATACAATATATAAAAATAAATTAGTAAAAATGCATTATATTATTTTTAATAAATTTTTTTAAAAAATCTTTAAACAAAAATATTTTAGTAAAAAACTTAAATCAAATTTAATAAATTTTTTTTAAAATAAATTCTATAAGTTTTTAGAATTGTTTTAAAAAAATTTTTTATTAAATTTGATAAAAAAAATTTGCTTGAAAAAAATATGATGCATTTTTACTAACTCACTTTTATATATATAAGTATCATCTATCGAAATCAGATAAACAATGCATCTTATTGGTTAATTGTATTATGATTGCAGTATGTGAATATCAAAACAAAAAACGCGTACTATACATATAAAAAAAACATGATTGGTTAATTTATGTAGATCAAACGTGTCAATAACCAATATAGAGTTTGAAACTGGTTTTAATTTTCATATGTTAAAACTGAGTTTAATTGGGTTTAACATAATATGAAATTAGCAATATGCACGAAAGAATAAATGTGAAACTTTATTAGCTATTTTTGACTTATACAAGTAATGTAATAACACCTGCACCCCAACCAAGTTCATATATCCATCTAACATGATTGTAAATTAAAAATATATAATTAACTTGCGGCACAAGGTACATTATACGTTATATTCGCAAGCTTCAATTTGTAAATTTATTATATAGGTAATGACCCATATAATATATAAGTAATGATCCATATAATAAATTTATTATAGCTGGGTCAGTTTCAGGTTGTTCAGATTAGTGTTGGCAGGCGAAACCTAAGAGTCTCGCCACATACGAAAGGCGAAACTAGTTTCGACTTTCGCCAAAAAAAAATTAAAATGGCGAAACTGCTAATAGGTGGCAAAATTGGAGAAAGGTAGTAAAATTAGTAAAAAAACAGTAAAACTAGCAAGAATAGAAAGGTAATTAAAGAAAATTAAAGTTTTTTTTTATATAATCATTATTATTTTTATTTATATATATAGCATAGCGCGATACTCTTATTTATCGCGCATCAATTTGATTGACTAATTTCGTTACACGAATTTAATAAAAAAAATAAATAAAATTTCAAACTTTTTTATATTTTTACTAATAATATTATAAAAATAGACGACTCAGTTTTTTCAGAAGTCTTAGAGGATTTGATCATCTTCAAGTTTTGACTTTCCCTAGGGGTTCAACTTTAGCAGGAATTTCGCCAGAGTTTCGCCGTTTCGCGCCGGGTTTAGTTTCATATTTCGCCATTTGCCAAAAATAGTTTCGCCTGCCAACACTAATGACTAGTTATGATATGGCATTTCCAATAATTCAAGCACCTATGATCATAATCAACGTGATTAGTATAACAAAACAATTAGGTTTTTCGAACAGATTGAATAACTATAACAAGTTTGATTTGTTATTTATTTATCTTTTTTTTATTTCGATGAATATGTATAAAAAAAAACTGCGCCATACTAAAATTTTAAGTTTAAATGAATTATAAAAAATAGCAAATATTGTATGCTCCATTTGATATTTGTATTTGAATTTCGTTTTACATTTCTTTCCATTGTATGACATTTCTACATCCAATAATACTAGTTTTTTTGTTGCAACGATATTATATGTGTATTAAAACAGTCCATTTTTTTATTGATTTTTGAATAGGAATCTATTTAATAAAAAAATTTGTCATAAGTAATAAGTGCTGCTGATTGTATGGTAAAAAGATTGGCTTCACGCGTTGTATAGCCACGTATAAATGCTCCGTAATTATTTGGTTTGATACCAATTTACACGAAAATAATTCAATTACATAAATGACTAGGAAAACAGATACTATTAGATATCCTGAAATATATAATTGATTATCAATCTAAAAATAGGTGCAGGCATAAGCACACAAAATATGGTCCATTACTACCGAACCGTTACGGGTAATTAACTGTTCTGACGCATCTAAATTAAATTTCACGTACTGAATCTGTGACAGATTATGCCGATTACCGAATCGAAAGAGCACAAAGATCAGAATTTAGCGCAAGCTTTAATTTATTTAATATTTAGAAGTCAAACTGGTTATCATAGTAAAATCTTGAGTTATTTGCGATCTTTTTGTTTTCTCAATTTTAAGTTACACGAGATTACGTGCAATTAAATTTCGGTCACTTGAGAAAATTTTATCTTTAGAAAAAAAAAATTCTAGTTTAAAGTAACGCACACGTTATATATAAGATATATATTAGAGTTGGAACTCTATAAATGCAACTCGTCAGTGCATTCACATCGATATACCGCAATTATTGCAGTATATTGAGATCAATTTTTCAGGGTTTGTTTTGTACATTACGATGTGTTATCGATCAGAAGGGCTGAATCAGATAACTAACCATAGTGACCATTTTCCCTTGGCAGCACTCATGCTTATTACTTAGATCTCAGATTCGGGCAGATTCAAATTTCTTTTAGCTTATGCATCTTTTTTTAACAATATCGTGTGAGATTGCATACAATACAGCAATAACAAGCTGCAAAGCAACATGACGATTAGTGTTTCAAAAGGCGGCATTCGTAATTTACGTAAAACTAGATTATAGAATTTTAAAAGTAATATAAAAATAATGCATTATTTTTAAGGTCCTTATTTTTATACAATACAATACTGGTTTACGTAAATTATGGATGCCATCAAATCTGAAATATTTCGAATATTTCATCAATAAGAAATAATTTCGTAGGAATTCTGTTCAGCCTACAAAGCATACCCCCGAAGTATCTCGCCATTGTGAAATAGTTAGCCTGATTGAAAAATCTCGAATTCGCTAAAACACTAATTAGTAACGATAACTACTATTTAGTTTAAAACAACCTGCACCATTGTTTTCAGAGTTGCATTTCGAACAATGAATTTTTCAGCGAAACTATCACAAAAAGTTAATTGATCACTAGCAAATCACACTAAAGGTGCTGCCCTTAGTCGTAAGAGATTTACTGTATAAACAGTGCTAAATTACGGTAAAAGATAAAAAAAGATATACCATATTATATATAACAAAAATTTAAAAGCTAAGATTTTACATATCCTACTGCTACTACGTACGTACGTAACATCGTTATTGTTATATAATCATTATCAGTTATGTGAATGATCAAAAACCATGTAGAGCATTTATTGTAACGATAACGTTATGCTACATTTTCATGGTTTATAATGGATTAAACAAAAAAAAATCTTGAAAAAAAACAAACCTTTTAATCAGTTCAGAGTTCAAAGTCTACAAATCGAAATTTTAATCTTTAATATTTCCATATTAAATGATGATCAAAACTTTATGATCTTTTTATCTTGGATGGTTCACAATCATTATAAACTCTAATTGCATCAGCTGCACCGTCCCAGGATTGTCGTCCCAATAAGCGATACTGGTAAAAAAAAAAAAAAAGAAGAGATTATCATATAAAGTTTTCAACTAAAAAAAGATAAATAAATAAATAATAAGAATTACCTGGATAGAGTTAGGAATTCCAAATAGAATTTTCCAATATAAAGAAAGACCAAACCTTCTTATTATTTGTAGTGGATACGGATAACAACCTAAATCCTTTGCTATAAGAGATTGTTCAATGTTAGCCTGTTGTCATACCCCAAAAAGATCATTTCAATTACTTACCTAAATAATCCAGCTCTGAAAAAAAGAACCCTTCAATTGTATGTCTTGCTGCATTATAAAAAATTTTTTGTAAGAATTCTTGACGTTTTCGAATCTCTTTGTGCATTTCGGGAATCGGCGGATGCGATGGTACGTAACCATTGATTAGACTTGTAACATAACGTGCTTGCATTTCGCTCAAGGGAAATATCGCTCCTATCAGCTGAACCAAGCCAATAAAGGCAATATTAGGATATTTTGGTGGGAACATTCTCTTATACAACCAAACTAAATTCTCCCTATATTCTTCTTCAAATTCTTCCAAAACTTCTTTATCACAAACAATCTCCCTATCTAAAAATGGAAATTCAATTTGATATCCGGTAGCATAAATCACTGCATCAATATCCTCAATTTTAGTTCCATCCACAAATTCAATAGATCCATCTTCGTTTAATTGCGTGATGTTTGGTTTAACAATAAGTGTTCCTGTTGAAATACGTTCGTAAAAATTCGTCTTCATAGTCGGATGACAACTAGATGGTTCAATTTTAGGTTCTAGACCTGCTGGTGGTAGTCCAACTATAGTTTTCGACATAGTCTTGGTCATATAATTTTGAATAAATCGTGGCAACCAATTGACAAAGAACCGACTACCGAAGTGATCAACGGGTTTCCCCTTTGCAAGTCTTGGTAAAATCCATGGAAGTGTTCCTTAAATTATACAATATTATATTATAAACTTAAATAAATTAGTTCATGAATCTCATTAATTTCATACCTCGACGAACACAAATATAAACTTGCGATGCTACTTCTGACAATTCCACGGAAATGTCCATAGCACTAAAAACAAATATTAAATTTTGTACGTGTCACCACTTAAAATTATACTTGTTGACAGTGTTCTAGGTTCAGTTCAATTTAAGTTCAGGTTCAAGTTCAATTGAACCTGAACTGAACACTTAAAAGTTCAAGTTCAGTTCAATTTTGAACTGACTTGAACTTGACCTAAAGTTCAAGTTCAGTTTATAGGAACACTACTTGTTGGTAAAGCCAGAACAAATCCCAAACCCTCAAAAAACAAATTGTTTTATAAAAAATTAAATCATGATATTTTGTAAATATTTATATATAGTTATAAGAATATATAAATCATTTGTTTAAATAAAGATTATTAATAAAGTTTTTGAGATAATAGTTTGGGCTTGAGTTTGGGATTTGGGCGGCAAGTATACTTAAAATACTTCCTTATCAATGTAACTCGAGTTCCTCTTCTCGAGAAAATGATTTTCAAAAGAATCCTCACCTATTTCCACATCCAACAACAACGACACGCTTATCTTTATAATTAGTGGGTTCTCGATAAAAATGTGAATGAATTTGATTTCCTTTAAATTGTTCCATTCCTTTATACTTTGGCATTCGAGGATACCGATGATGTCCTGTACAAACCATTACATAATCAAACACACTTTCGGTTTCTTCTTCTCCTTTAGTTACATATCGAACTTTCCAACGTTTATCGGGAAGAATTGATGCGTTTAAAACGGTAGTATTAAATTTTATGTGGGGGATAAGCTGGAATCTTTCCGCGTACATATCAAAATACCTAAAAAAAATATATATATATATATATTTACAGTATTTATTTAACATGGATCGATGAAATTATAAATCATTAAATAATTGATAACTTACTTCGCGACAAATTTGTTATGCATATAATAAGGCCAATCAGGAGGAATCGGAAAATCCGAAAATGTCGACTATGATCGGTGAAACAAAAAATTATACTGTATTAACTTTTTTACATTATATTATATTAAATATTATAAAAATATTAACTATTTCCCTCCACCTACCATTTCTTTACTAGTATTGATGATCACACTCTTATAGATTGAGGAATGTGGATCCTTATTATCTTCAGTGACTTCGGTAAAACGCCAAAGTCCCGCAGTAGTACTGGATGCTTCAAAACACACCGGTTCGATATTATCAGCAATACATTGTTTAATACTTGTAAGTCCAGACGCTCCTTATTATAGATAAATGATGAAAATATATGAAACATATTTAATTAATGTTAATTAATGTTATAAAACAAAAATATAAAAATATACCTGCGCCGATAATGGCAACACGAGGTTTTGACATTTTTTTTTTTTCTGGATCAGACAATAAGGAATCATGGTATAAATAACGTTAAAAATGGTTGTACAAATTAATGCAGAAGGATTACACATGTATGATAGATGATAAATAATTCCATGACATGAGTTTATTCAATTTGGCTTAGATAATGTATGTATACTATGTAGTTAATAGTATATCAAATTAAAAATAATTAATAATTTAAATATATTATTTGTTTATATATAATTTAGAATAGAATTACTGACAACTCGGGAAAAATATTATCCCATTGATGTAGCGGTAAGATATCAAAAATAAACTTGATTTTTATACAGTAACATATTGATACTGATAAGTACGTATGTGCATGATAACATATCGATATCGATATCAGTGGCATAATTACGCGTGTATGATAAATATAAATTTACGAAAATGCGATGTGCAACTTTGATCTCTCCAATTAACAAAGATTTGGTGCTGTTAACCCAAAAGTTAAGTTATAAAAACTAATACTGTCGTCCTCCTCTATAATCACACAGTCCGTATCAAGCAAATTGTGTGATTGTATAAATATGTGCTTTTAAAGAAGTATTTTTTTATGTTTATTAGTAAAGTGTTGTAGGTTTTGGAGTGATTATAAAAAGGGGTTTACTATGATATTATTATAGGAGATGTCAAGCAAAAAGAAGCAACAATGCCAAAGATAGTAAAGTTTATGTTGAAAAACATGAAATTTAAAAGTGAATTGGAAAACGCTTCAGATTTACGAGTAATTTGAATTATTACATAAAAATTTTCCTATCACGTGAGGATCCACCATAGCTTATCCAATAGCACGCCTCGCTTGGATGTAACGTTACACGATCAAGATCAAAGTGATTGACGTCACATGAAATATTTAATAACAGGTTTAATTGTTTAAGTATGAGGTCATGAATGGGTATGACGGATTTGATTAATTGATAGTAAGTATGAGATCATAAAGTGATATGATCGATTTGATAAAATAAGTGATAGTAAGTATAAAGTCAGAGATTGAGTATTTAAACGAAAAGGAATGGAAATTGGTTCTTCTTCTTTTGTCTTTGCTGCTAGCTCGACGATATTCTAGCATTGTCGTTTGTACCCTTCCACCCACCGTTAATGTTTGAGAAAGAAAGTATTTTAAAGGAAGGAAAAGAAATAGACATCGAGTCAGGATTAGTTGAAAACTCGATAGCCCGGGCTTACGGTTCGGATATTGAAAACAAAATATTTTGGTAGCCCGACCAAACAGGTCGGATACCAAAGAGAAGAGAAGCAGGTGAGTGCCATGAATTATGTTTCTCATAGTTGTGTAATGGTTATGTTCCATAATCGAATGACAAATAGTGATGAGCAAAAACCAGTATCCAGCCAATCGACAAACGATTAGTATAATGTTAAGATGATAACTTTCTTGATGCAGGTCTATACTTAATTAGGGTTGGGTTGGGTTAAGCAACTCCTCAACCCACTCCAGCTTGGGTTGGGCTCACTCCAGAGCCACTCCAGGTTTGCTTAGAGCTGCTCCAGTTCACTCCAGATTTTTAGGCATATCTTTAACCCACTCCAACTTGGGTTGGGCTCACTCCGGAGTGGCTCCGGAGTATGCCACTCCATTAACAACCCTAAATTAGGGTTAGATACTATTTTAGGTAGGATTTGTTTGTATTTTTAAATTTTGCGTCTTTGATGTTCTAATAAAAAAACATTTCTTGAAAAATTTTACTATAATACTTGCCCTTTCTAATCCTAAAATGACTCTAAAATTAAAGCAAATTTACGGCATATATAACATTTATTATTCAATATGTTTGTATCACGGTAGGAAATAAAATTTCTGCCTATGATATCTGCGATAGCATAATCTGCACATAAAATGGCTGGTATTATAAAAATATAAAAATATCGGAACATTTCGAATAGTAGACCACAAAACACGAGCATGATTGTAAATTTTGCAAGTCACATGTATACCGGCCAATCAGATTGTGAAAAAAGTTGAGATTAATAGAAATTAAAAGAAATTAAAAAAATATATTATAAAGTGAAATAAAAGCACCAATTCATTCATTATATTTACTTGTGTTTTGTCAAAGTTAAGCTACCCGGGCTTTTCTAAAAAAGCATTATAAAAAATATAAAAAATTGGTTTGTAGCTTTGATATGAAAGTATTAGAACAGCATTTTGTCAAGAATCAAACACAAGAGTGTAAATTGATCAAATGTTTGGGTTGCATGATTACTAAGAATGGTGACGTAGTATTTTCAGTTTGTAATCATTGAGCTTAACGTAACAGTTATGTAATTATGTAATATTTTAATGAAAGTATATTTAAAAAGATAGAAATATATAGAAATATATTTAAGAAGATTTGAGTTTTTTTAGACAAGATAGTTTCTGTCTTTTCTGCTAACTTGATTTTAACTAGTGTTTTTATGCAATTATATGATGAGTTTAGAACAGTTATATAAAGCTTATAAATTTAAAACAACAATAATAAATAAACTTTTAAAAAGATAAAGTTTTCAATAAACTAAACTTTTTTTTTTATAATATTAATAATGAGATTATGTTTTTATTTTTATTAAATATTTAATTAAGATTTTACATAAAGTACAATTTTGTTTTTAAAATATTATAGAAAGAATAAAAGCTCAAACTAATTTATCCGTGACTTAAATTAATAAAAGTGATCAAGGTTTATCTAGATTTAAGTATTAGTAATTATGTATAAGGGATTAGTTTAATATTTAATTTATTAGATATATTAGGAGTTTATTTTTAAACTAATAAAATTAAATAAAAAGAATATAATAAAATGAAACAGAGTTTAATAATATGTTATATTCAGAAAGTTGAGTTGTAGATCTTAAGATACAATATGAAATTCAGATTTTGTGATAGATTTGTTAATTAAGATAAAATAAAAACTTGATAACAAGCATTATAATTACTTTTTTAGATGACAAACTTGAAATAATATTAATATGTTTGTTTAGTATTAGACTTGTTAAAGTTAAAAAAACTAAAGGTAAATTTGGTATACTATGAATAATTATACTACTCAATAGCTTGATTTGGTTATATAAATTGGTTATAATCTTTGAAGTAATGTTAAGTATTTTAGTATTTAAAATACATTGTAATGAAATATTTATAAAGTTATATAACAATTAATTAGATAAACAAATTGTTTAGTAAAGATGAAAACTAATTTAATGATATTAATAACAAATAGGTAAATATGAATGATATAGTTTGTATAAAATATGTAAAATAAAAAAATTATTTAGTAGAATTTTAATTTTAAAAAATTTAAAAATAGAGAACTGAAAGTTGTATAAGAAGTTTGAGATTTTTTAATTGTTGTTAATATATAGTTAAATAGTTTGTCAATTAACTTGATTAAAAATTTTGTATAATTCATAATACATTAATATATGCATAATATATTGTACAAATATTGCAGTAAATAGATAATTTTAAGAAACAGTTTTTTCTAAATTTAAAGTATATGCAGAATTATAAATATTGTAAGACATAAAGGCAAGAAAAGACAAATTGTGATGACTGTATGCAAATTGATCTACAAGATTATTGTGCTGATTATTCTAAAAACAGTAACTTTATGAAAAATAATATGGATATATTTTAATTTGATAAAATTAATAAGTATATTCCAAACAAACTCTTTCTACAAATTTATTATATAAAAATTAACTAAAAAATTCATCTATTAAAAAACACTTATAACTATTTATTTTACTAAGACAATCTGTCTTGAACTCTTAATTAAACTTGTTTAGCTTATCATTTTATATATATTTTGCAAATATTAAGCTTCTATATTTTAAACTTATTAAAAAAACTGTACTAATAATCTTTAGACTCTAGTTTAAAACCTTTAATTATCTTACAGTTTCTACTACCTTAACCTGTTTTTTACTCTTAAGTAAAGTCATAGTACACATTTATTTGATCAAAACAAGTTCTAAACAAAGATTTTTGATTTAATATTGAATAAACTATAACTAAATTTAATATTTACTCTCTTGTAAAACCTTTTTTTTACTTTTTGTTTTTATTTTATTTTTTTTTTCTTTATATGTTTTTTATATAACTATATAATTATTTTCTAATTTATACTTTATTAATTTATACTAATACTTTATAACTTATCTATTAATAGCAACCCATTTACACAATCAATTATTTTTATATTCAGTCTTTATTAATATTACATAGTAATTTGTATTACAAATCCTAACTATATTTACTATTCAAGTCACATTAGTGATCTTATTCATCTCTATTACACCTTTATGTTATTCTAGTAATATCCTTAAACTACAACCCTTGTACTCATCTATAACCCTTATTAAATTAATTATTTACAACTATATTTTCTATTTAACAAATATTTTTAAATCAAAAACATACTTATTCAACTTGTTAATACTTTAAAATATCTATCTTAATTTATCAAGATTTGACATTGCAGACTTTGACTACTTTTACTAAAACTTTTCTAACAGTTTTGGAATTGCCCTTTATGAAGAGGAAAATAAATACAAGACCTGTCCAATTCTTTCTAAAGTTCAATCAACTATCTGTTTAATTAAAAATCTTCGATTATATAAAATTATTTATTTTTTTTAAGCTTCTATCTCTACTTTGATGATTACTTAACTTTGTAACAAATATTATACTAAATTTTTTTTTTTTTTTATAATTAAAGTCTTTATCTTGAGGATGCAATGTTTTTATTCAATTATATTAGAACATGGTATGCTACTAGAAGCTCACCTTACATTGAAAGTTACAACTAGCCATATATGCACTTTTGATGTCTAATTTAAATAGTTTACTTACATATTGCTATATAAGTTCTACACTAGTTGCCATACCTACAAGCCAATTAGATGTCTTGTTTATTTAAACCTTCTGCATATATAATTCTTCTTGTATCATAAGAACATCTTAAGACTACACCTATCCAAGTTTCTGATGCTTGTTGTTACCCTTAGGACTAATTTATTCTTGACAAAAAACTTACTAAAGCCTTTATATTTCATATATATAAACCTAGTTTTATGCAACATGCTATAGTTACCTAACACTTGCAGTCATAAGGGTTATCTGTTTAACCACTATGTTATACTATTTCTATCCTTGTAAAGTTTACTAGAACTTCAGTACCTATCTTTTTGGCATCTTCTTCATCATCTTTTACTAGTCACAACTCAGAACTGTTAGTCTTATCCAGACTACTAATCTAGATGGCCTGGTATAGTATACTTTTGTATTTTTTTTCTTTAATGAATCTGATAGCCTGGTTGGTTATATGCTCCTTTACACATATTTTATATTTAGTTTTAATCTTCAGTTCTTATAAAGATGTTTTATAGACTTCAACCAGTTTAATAGTACTATTGAAAGTTCATGCTACCTCTTTATTTAGAAATTTTTAAATAGATTTTCATCACTTCAGTTTCTTAGTCTTTTACATCTAATGGTCTTATTATAGATTTGCACCAAAGTCTTATGCAACACTGATTATATATTTCTCTATATATATGTAATATTATATTTCACATAGATGCCTAAGCTCCTAATGTCAGTAGAATCTGACTTGATGTACCTGGGTTACAGCCATATGAGGCCAACTGATTAACAGAAAACAGTTACTATAATGTAGATATAATTTCTAAATTTCATCATAGGTGGGATTTGAACCTTAGACCTGCCATTTGGAGAATGACAATTTAACCACTATACTAGGATTGCTATTTTCTATTATACTAAATTTATTTTACTTACCAATACTACTTACATTTAAGCTACCAAATTCACTACTGTCTACATTAATTTTAACTCTAAAAAGCTTAATAAAACAACTCAAAAACTTATAACTAATATTTTTTTTCTAGTGACAGTGTTTCTCTATCTTCTACACCTGATATATACTATTATATTGGCCCTAAATGTTCTGTTCCAATTGGTTATATCAAGAGAAATAGGCATCATTTTTCTACCAAAAAATATGTTACCAAAAATAATGAAGTCTACTATCTTATCTGCATAACTGTCTTATCTCAACATGAAGCCAGCTTATTTTAAACTAAGAAAAACCTTATTTAATCTTTCTAAAACATTT